CGAAAATTTTTTTTTTCAGGAAAATAATCAATTTTTTTTTTTTTCCAATCAGATTCTTATCCAAAAAAAAAAAAAAAAAAAATATAAACAGGATTTTACAACAACAACAATAAAAATTGATTCATCATATAATCATCATCATCCATTGATTGATTTTCGATTTTCGATTTTGGTATTTGATTTTTTTTTTTTTTTTTTGAAAACAGTAACGCCATCTGTTGTTCGATAGAAAAAACATCAAAATTTTCAAAATGACCATGAAATTTTTTTTTCTTTCTAATCTTTACATTTGATCAACGTCAGATGGCAATGAAAAAAAAACCTGGCTAATGTTTCCGGCCATCTGCAATTTCTTCCGACCAACGCATCAACAACCCTCGAAAATGTTTTCTGTTTGATTGGTTGGTGGAAAAACCAACCTACGCTCTTTCTATATTTGGAAAATCAAAAAACTAATCGATAATTGTACACACAGGTATCATTCAAAATGGATGGGTATTTCAAAAACGCAACAACCAGAAAGGAGAAGGAAAAAAATCAAAGGTGGAAAAATCAACATCATCAGCTGATTTGCTTTTTTTCGCAATCAAACCACCACCACCACACAATTATCAATTTGATCAAACAAAAATCAAACAATGAATGAATGCAACGAGCAACATTCATTCATTTCGTCGACAAATGACAATGCAAATGAAATGAAATGAAACAAAACAAAAACTCAGTGAAACGTAACGTTAGACAAAATAATCATCATCCATCGATGATGATGATTATCATTGAAATTTTTTGTGAATTTAAATGACAATTGTCGTCTCTCTCGAAATAGAAGGAAAGAAAAATGCAAAAAGAGATTCCATAGAATAGAATAGATGGCGTAACACGTTTTTCTGTGTGCGCACGCGATTACGATTCAAAAAATGTGATTGCGTTGGCGACCAATAAAATTCCATAAAAATGGAATTTCCATTTTAAAACGATCGACCTTGATCATTATTTTTGATGAAGAGGATTGGCGACAAAAAAATCGGACATTTTGGACGGATAAATATTGCTCATTTTGATTTTTGATTTTTGATTTAATTTGATGTTTGTTTGTATGTGTGGGCAACAATTTTGGTCAGAAGAAAAACAAAACAAAACAAAGAAATCATCAATAAAGGTGGAGAAAAACACCGAAAAGGTAATTTTGAAGTAAAGTGAAAGAGAAAGTTACGCGCTCACACATCTACGCATGACAGATTCGAATGATTATATGAATGAATAGAAAAGAGTTTCAAACATTATTCGAACATCATCATTTTGATAATGATGATGATGATCGAAACAACAACCGAAAACGAAGATATTTGAATTTTTTCTTTGAATCAAAGTGATAAAAAGTGTGATAAAGTGTGATTATTTGTTTAGTCGGATTTCGAAAATTCCTTTGAAACAAAACGAAAAAAAGGAATCAAATTTCAAACACTGAAACTTTTTGTCGAATCAAATTGATTACAAACAAGCAAACAAAAATATCATCCAAAAAAACAAGCCAAATCCAAATGGCAGATGTTTGTTTCAGATTTTGATCAACTTGATAATTATCTTTGTTTTTGTTCACTGTGTTTTTTTTTGTTTTTGTTTATGTGTTCTGTGTGTATTTATTCAATGTTTGTAATGTAGCTTGTTCTGTGTGTTTATGTCTATTTTGGAAGATAATCTTTGAATGAAAAAAAAAACAATTACATAATCAATCAGAAAGGTTTGCGCACCTGTTATCATTACCTGTTATTACAGAGCAACAACAACAACAAAACACCTTGATCCTATTCTAAAAAAACACATTGACTTTTGAGGAATTGTTGTCTGTTTTGTGTTTCACCTTTACATTTTCCATCATTTCATCTGGCCGCAAACAATTTTTTTTGTGTGTTTTTAAAAAATTTCAAAAAAATCCATCCAAATTGAACAAATCAAAGAACCAAGAACAAAAAAAAAATGGCTGAACGTGAATCACATGAACATTCCTTTTCATCGATCGATAATCAATCATTAGGTTCAAACAGAAATAAAGTTGTAACGAAAAAAACAACAACCGTTGTTCCGGTAAGTTTTTTTTCCAAAACAAAAAAAAAATTCCAAAAAAATTTCTCAAAAAGACTTAAACTAGTTTCAAATGTAAAGATATCATCCATTCATTTTCTTGAAGAAAGAAATGGAAGAAAACAAGCAAATCAAAAAAAATCACCTTTTTTTTATCACCTGAATGTGATATTTTTACCATACTTGGTGATGGCTCTACGGATTGCTCAATATCAATATCATTCATATTTACACCTTTTTCCTCATTCTGCTATTTGAAAATCTCAATGTCCATTTACGGCATTTGCAAATGAAAAAACTTGAAATTCAATTGCAACACACACGCAATTGTGTGTGTGATGAACGATTGATGCCGCCATCATTGACGTCTATGATGATAGCTATTTTTTTAAATTAATTAATTAACCCTGAACAAACACACACAGGGAAAGACATTTTACAAAATTTTAATTTTAAAATTTTCTATTTGATTTTTTTCTCTTTTTCTTCCAATTTGAAAAAAAATATAGTATGATATAAATTCAGGTGTAATACCACCACCAGGTACACAGGAAGAATGGACAACAACCAAACGTCGTATAAATCATAAAACAAAACAAGTTGAAACACGTGTACAACGTCAGATAATAATGGAAGATGGTAAAGTTATTGCCGATAGTGGACCACAAGTAACAACCAAAACGACTGAAGATCAAAAATCCGATGAACAAGAAGATACAAAACATCGTATGTTAGGTGATTCAGATGTACCGGAAAAATATCGTAAAGATATTGGTAATCAAGTGGTAGCGGAAAAAACCGTAACACATAATGTAACCAAAGAAGCAAAAGAAGAAAATTATCAATATCATGATGAAAGTTTACGGGAATTAGATGGCCCAGATATTCATCGTCGTGCTGTTGAAAATCCAAATAAATTAATATCGATTGAAAATGAAATACCTGCAATACCACGTGGTAAATTGGTGAATTTTACCGCAAAAGGTCGTAAAACAAATGATCGTGATGAAATATTAGAAGTTTCAAGACTTGGTAAAGATGGCTTGTTGAATACGGAAACAACACAAACACAATATCATGAAGAATATGAAGATGATGAATTACCTGAAGAACAACCGATTGCTGAACGTATGATTGAAAGTGATGGTCATCATCATGGTCATCAACGACAACTTGAATATAATCGTAGTCATCGTGATGATGATCATCGATCAATACGGACAAATAGTTCGTTGAGCATCGATCGAAACAAAGATCGAAAATCATCATCGAAAAAGTAATGTTTTTTTTTTTGCTTGTTTGCTTGCAATTAACCCTTTGATTGATTGATTGGTGTTTTTTTTTCTCAAAAAAAAACAGGAACAAAGACCATCACCATCATCATACAGGTGATGATGATATAATTGAAACATCCGAAGTATATCGATTATCCGATCGTATGCGTTCATTGAAAAGTTCGGAAAAAAATAAAAAAGGGAGGCCTCATTACGCTACAATAACTACCCGTAAAGATGATGCATCAACACAGGCATCATTATCTGATTGTGATTGCGATCATCATCCGCAACAAGGATCATCTTCGCTACGATCATCATTCAATATGCATGATAAAGATTGTTTTATCAATAATGATAGTAAACCTAAATATTATTACAGCGGTGGTGATCCAATTGATGATGATAAAGGATTTATACAGGCAAAAGTAAAAACATCAAAATTTGCAATGGAAAATGACCGTATTGTTGAGGATAAATCATTTGAAGAAGATTTTAAACGATCATTTCGTAATGATACGGAAAAATTTGATGTTAAACGTGATTTTGATCGTTTTCGTGAAAAAACTGCTGAACATACAAAGGTAATCCTTTAACCCTAATCTAATTAGTCAATTACTAAATCTAACCCTTTCTCTCCCCCTTGAATAGAGTATTCGAGATCGTGCCGTTTCACCAATGCTGCCACCATCTGGTCCACTAACATCATCCACCGAATTTATTCATCGACCAATTTTATCCGATACTAATTCAAATCAACCAGCAGTTGGACGTTCAAGATCATTTTATAATCACCAGATTGAACAATTGGATAAATCACATACACATCGAACATATGATCATCATCAACCACCATCTTCTTCTTTCAATGATCGTTATTCAAGTTTGCCAAAAGATTCCTATAAAAATGGTGACAGTAATTATAGAGTTTCAAGTCCATTAGTGACCAGCAGTAGTGGTGGTGATAATTGGAATACCAGTAGCAGTCGACATCATCATTCTTCGACCAAAGATCATCGTCGTTATGATAGCCATCATCGTACAACTGGACGATTACCATATGGTGGTCAACATCAATCACGAACAACAGATTTTCCTGATTTTGCACCATTATCCAGTCCATTTGAAATTAAATCATTAACGGCAGGTCGATAAACGAGAAAGAAACGAAAAAACCGCACTTCCAGAATCGGAAAAAGATTGCCAAAAAAATCAATCGGATTAATCAATTAATTTATATAACGAATGTTTTATACCGAAAACTTATTAACTTTTTTTCTTCTTCTTCTTCATTAATTTTACCCCTTTCCCTTCTCACTTTAATTAACTTTTCTGGCTTTTACAAAGAAGAATAAAAACAAAAACTTTTATTTTGCTCATTCAATCAATCAAATATAAATTAAATAACTCCAGAATATCAATTATAATCAAGTGAATGGTGTTTTAAGACGATGAAAATCTTTGGCCAATTCATTTAATTGTTCTTGTTGTGGATGATGATAATGATGATGATGGTGTTGATGATTGTTTGAATGATCATTATTCGAATCATCAACATTTGCTGAATGCATTACTTTTAAACGTTTAAATGCTGTTTCCCAATCTGGCGATGATAATGATGAAATGGATTGATCTTTATTATTCTGTTGATGATGATTATTCATTGATAATGGTGGTGAATATGGTTTCGAAGGTGATGTGGAATACATACGTTTTTTCATCAATGATGTACGCATTGGTGATGGTGATGATTGTACTGTTTGACAAATATTTGCCATAGATGTTGATGGTGATGATTGTGATAATGATGATGATGATAACATTGAGGAATTACCACGACTATAATATGGTAGATTTCCACTACCACCACCCATCATCATCATCATATCGTTCAATCTAGATACATTATTCGATTGTTGTTGTTGTTGTTGCTGCTGTTGATTTTGATTATTTGATTGATAATTACAACTAGGTGATGATTGATGATTGTTTCGAATAGATCCAGCCATCGATAAAGTCGATGTAAATGTTGTCGGTGAACGTTCTAAAACGAAAAATCAAAGATTGTAAATATAGAATTGCATTTGAAATGACAAAAGTTCTTACGATTAATTTGTGTTTCCGATGGCATATAGATTGCTGATGATGAACCATATCTACTACTACTGTTATTATTTTGATTGTTTTGTATCAACATTGGAATGGTAATCGATTGCGATACAGTATTCATCGATTGATCCATAGGATCATCATCATTCAAACTATCAGTATTCATTGATGATGATGATGATTCTTGATTTAATGTTTTATTTATTGCAAACAAATCTTCACTACTAGCCGATAATGATCTTTGAATTGAAGCAAGTAAAACTTCTTTCCGTAGATCACTATTACTACGTTTTGTAAATGTCTGATTCAGTTTAACATCAGGTTCAATGAATCCTTCATCAGCTGATTTTAATTTATTCGATAATGATCCATTTAAAATACCCGATGATGATGATGATGATGATGATAATGAAAAGGGTGAATTAGTGGATATTGATGTCGAACCACCATTGGCAGTTAAAATCATTAATTTCTTTTTCGTAATCAAAGCTAAATCACAATTACTACTTGCGGGAATATTTTCTCGCAATGTTCCTAATGCATTCGATTGTTGTTGCTGGTTTTGTCCGGTTGTCGATACAAACGAATGCATTGAATATCTTCGATGTCTTGTCGGTGTTGATGATGATGATAATGATGATGAAAATGGTGATATGTGATGATTAAGAAACGAATTTGATGAATCAATTGCCAATGGTGAAATTGATGAAATTTTTTTTGCCATTATAATAGAATTTTGTGCCAAAGATGAATCTTTTGTAGGCTGATTAGATGATGATTCAAATTCGAAAAACATTTTTTCGGCTAATGATAATGTTGTTGTGCGTACATTGTTGTATCACAAATTTTGATTTGATAATTTTGTTTGTTTTTCTTTCCACTCTCGACCGAATCAATAATAATAATAATTTAGTTTTGATCGATTGCTAACTGCACAAAATAAAAAAATGATTGACATTTTTATTGCCATTCTTTTTTATTCAATTAACAGAAAAAAATTTGTTTTTCCAAGAATGAAAGCTGCGCAGCTGATTGTTTGTTCTGTGCAAACAGAACAAAAAAACATTCAAAACAGAATCTTTTCGAGAAATTGAGCAATATTTTGAAATTGGGGGTTACTCATATATGACATGTCCAAACGGGCATTTAAATCTTTTTTTTTCAATTTAAAAAGAATTTCCGTTATTTTATTTTTATTTTTATTTACAAATAATTTTTGTTTTTAAATCATGCATCAAGTGAGTGAATGTGTCTGTGTGTGATATTGTTGAATTTTGGTTGTTGATGATGAGATATGAACAAATTTTTGCTAAATTTTTTTTTGTTTTACATGGAATTTTTCTTCTTTTTTTTGTGGTTAAGAAAAAATTTTGATCAATTACCACCGAGAACATGTCCACGGCCACCCCAATTATGACCCGATGATGTCGATGATGATGATGATGATGATGATGGATTATTTGATGAAAATGGATTTCGTTGACTACGAATCGATGATGCTGTTGGAAATGAAAGAAATCCAGTTGTTGATCGCATTGGTGTATAACTGGGTAGAAATCGATACAGAATAGATGGTGTTGTTATTAATTCACTACCACCTTGATCTCTTGGATAAACATATTTTACATAATAATAAAGATGACCAGTTAAGATGCCTAAGATTTCAAAGAAACCCCTACAAAATAAGTGAAAAAAAAATTTCGATTAAAAAATTATTCACATCAACACACAAACAGACAGAATACTAACCCTCCACCAAGAATCATATTGAATCCAAGTAAAACCCAAGGCAAAAATTGTGCCTTGAATCTGGTTCCAAACCAAAATGAAACAATCGTTTCTTTATTCAATTGACACCAAACATAAAGGACGCTCAATATCAATGGATCCATTAATAGGTAGATGTTCATGAATACAGCCATTAACTTTTTTTTTTAAAAAAAGGAGAAATTCAAACTTTTTTTTCACTGATACAAAACAGAGAGAAAACTTACAACCAAAGATGACCAATTAAATATGAGCATAAAAAGATAATCAGCTGGTTTACCAACAAATTCACTTGTTTCAAGATTTTTTGAATATTGATAAAGAAAATATAGATTTATTAGATAATGAAATCCAGTACCCGGACCAATTGGATAATAAAATGTACCAGTGAATGGTCTCCATAACTAGAAAGAAAAAAGATTTTTTTTTAACACAAATGTAGCTAACATTACAAAAATATATTTTACCTCTAATTTCCATATAGCATCTTTTGTCATAAACATATGGTATGGATTAAATAAACCGATTCGACCTAAAACAGGTATTACAAATGAAAGACCAAACCAATAACGGGTGATTACTGGAATTGACATGAACCATTGTTTAATATCGGCCATGATTGAAGAATTTTGTTACTGAAAATCGATAACCAGTGAATGAAAAAAAAATCTGGAATTTACACCAAATGTTTTTCCAGCTGAAAGAATTATGTTCAATCACGCAAACACAATAAATGAATATATAAACCGAATCAACAAACAATAAAAACAATTCTTCAACTTTAACAAAATCGATAGAGAAAATGTGAAAATATAGCTGTTTTTTTGAAATAAAATCAGCCTTGATTTTCAATGCAATGCAACATCATCATTACAAAAAAAAAGATATCCAATCATTCGAACGAATGTTGTGAGTCGAATCACATGATTAAATTTCAATGTTTTGTTCATAAACGACGTATCCAAACGATTTAAATTTCAAATTTTGGCTAAATTTTTATTTAAAATTGCAATTTTTTTTTAATTTTGAAAAAAAGTGTAGAAAACAAAAATGAAATGAAAAAAAGCAAACTATGGAAAAATTTTGGAATTTTCAATTCATTCGAATATGAAGAGAGAAAGAGAAAAACAAGAATTGTGTCAAATTTTTTGTTTCAATTGTGACAAGTGATAAACTTGTATGAATCGTGTGTGTGTGTAATTTTGACTGGTTTTGCGAATTGTGGTGTTTTGTAATGTGCGGAAGTGTTATTTTTGAAAGAAAGAAAAAAAATTAATCTTTAAGAATGGTCAATCATTGGCTGTGTTCATTGAAAATTGAATGAAAGCAAAGAAGAGAAGAAAAAAAAACAATTTTAAAGTTGACCACAATCAGAAATGGTCACTTTTTTCGATGGTTTACCAGATTGTGATCCATAGCTTTCGATCTTTTTAACAATATCCATACCATCAACAACTGAACCAAAAACAACATGTTTACCATCCAACCATGATGTTTTTACAGTTGTAAGAAAAAATTGTGAACCATTAGTGTTTGGTCCTACAAAAAAAAGAAATTTAATCAATTCGATATCCAAACAATCAATGTTTATAAACATACCGGCATTAGCCATTGACAAGATACCAGGTCCAGTATGTTGAAGTGTAAAATTTTCATCAGCAAATTTATTGCCATAAATAGATTTACCACCAGTACCATTATGATTGGTAAAATCACCACCTTGAATCATAAAATTCGGTATGATACGATGAAACGAAGATGATTTAAAGCCAAATCCTTTTTCACCAGTACATAAACAGCGGAAATTTTCGGCTGTTTTCGGTACAACATCACTACGGAGCTAAATATTTAGAGATAATCAAAATCAAAGATTAGTAAAAAATGCAATTTTACTTTTTAAAAAATCCCGGTTACAAGCGGCGCCATCTATCGCCGATTGATAATCGATGACAAGAGGAATGGCAAAAAACCGGCGTTGCTTAAAGAGCAATAAAGAGAGAGAAAGACAGCATGAACACGACATGGCATCATCAATTATATGGCTGAGAATTTAGAAGAAAAAAAATCAGCCCACCACGCCGGTTTTTAGTGATTAAAAATCACGTAATAAAATGACAAGCCAAATGATGATAAAGTCTAATTTGTTCGCCTCTTTTTCTTCTCAACAAAAAAAACCTGTCATATTTCTCTAAAAAACGAAATACCGAGCCTGAAGAATGAGTTATTCGAAAGAATTTTTTCGTTGCAATTTTTAGCCAAGAATTGGAAAAACTTCGAAACATGGAATGCGATTGCTTTCACATTCGATGTCAACGGAAATCAAAAGGATCAAAATCCAAAATTGAACTTACCTCCATAACAATGCGACCTAATGGTTGATTATCGGCAGCAACATCAAAATAAACACGCGGAAGTGCCATTATTGATTGATTGGTAGTTTTGTTATTAGAAGATGTTGTTGAAGAAAATTGTCGAATCGAAGTTGAATTAAAATTCGAATTATTAACTAAAAAATCGGACCAAAATGTTGGCGTTATAAAGGCAAATAATCGTTGTTGTTGTTGTTTCAATATCAAAGTCGACGATGAATTTAATGGCGATCGTTGATGAAAGCAACTTCTTATAGAAATAGTAGAAGAAGCAGAAGCAGCAGCAGTAGTAGTAGAAAATGCCATCGAACAATCACTGTGAATTGGCGATAAATTCGATTTATTAGCCGAAAGGCCAAATGGTGGCAGCATAGCTGTTACATGATGATTATTATGGAACGATCGAACATTAATATAGCTAGTAGCAGTATTAAAGGTGGCGCTATGTTTCAACAATGAAATCGAATTTTTTTCGATCCGGGGTTGGCATTTCGTTATCGCTGTTGCCATGCTGCTGCTACTATTACCACCACCATTAACAAAACGGTTGATTAATGAAAGACGAAGACCACCACCACTACCGGCCAATGAAAAACGATATGCCAATGTAGATGATGATAATGCCATCTACCGATATCAGATTAAAGAGAAAGAAAAGGAAAAAATGTAAAAAAAAAATTTTTTGATTTTTGATTTTCGATTTTGATTTTTCACAATTTAGATTGGAAAAATATACGAGAAAAATCTGTTGTTTAATCAGTGATCACATCTATAGAGAATCACTATAGTAATCAAAAACAGAAAATTTTGACCATCCCCACATGTCGAACATAGTGTTAAACACATTTAAAAAAAAGGCCAAACCATTAAAATTTTACCTTAAATTTTCGATGAATTTTTAGGAAATTTTTTTTTTAAAGAGAAAGATTCGAAAAAATTTAACCCAAAAAATAATAACTGTAAATATTATTTCAAAAGATTTGAAAAATGAATTCAATTCAGACAAAAAAGTATCAACACACAGCAAACAACATGTGATGTTGATCATATATGTGAAACGCATGCGTCAATGGAAAACTTGAATTTTGTTCTTTGCGGAGAATTTTTTATTTTTGTTTCCATCCCAAACGACGACCAGGAAATGGCCAGTTTTGTAATTTTTTTTAAAATAGATTTTTAGATTGTTGTTGGTGATTGGAAAAGTTCATCCAAAATGAATGTTTCTTGTTAAAGTTATGAAATTGGTATCATCACCATCATCATCATTATCGATAACTTTTCGAGTCAATGACCGAGTCCTAATGGACGATGAACCGTTTTTTTTTGTTCGTTTCGTCATGTTGGTTGACCCTAGAAGAAAAAGTCAAGAAATCAATCTGACCAATTTTAGCCTGAAGGGCCATTTCTAAACGAAAAAAAGGTCAAACTAAAAAAAAGATAATGGCCATACACACTGGTCAACCGAAAGGAATTCGTTCCAGTCCTAAGTAAAAAAAGAAAACAAACTTGGTCCATTAATATTTTCAATTTTTTTTTTTGACGAAAGAAAAATGATAACCGTAACTGTAATTACCAGTTTCATCATGTACAACAGCAGCACCTGTAATCATTATCTAATGGTTCGTTCATTCATTTGCACACCAAACGGTACACACCAAATGTCCATGACCTATGTATATGACCTTGCCAACTTGACCATCAAAAAATTGGAATTTTTTTTACGGTTCTAATTCTTATCTAGGGTCGTCGTTGTCTTCGTCTTCGATCGGTCAATATGTCTGGTGGTCAATTTCGATGAGAAAATTTCAAGACAAAAAAAAATTTGGTTTTCTAATTTAAAATTCATTACCAATCTTTGGTCATTGATTATTTGTGTGGTGAACTTTGAACAAGTTGGGTCATCAATTTTTTTTTGTTGAACAAAATGAAAATGTATCAATTTCGAATCGTTATAACATTATTCGTATTGGCCATATATTGGCCATCAGGTTCGTATGGATTTTTTTGGCCATTAACAGCATTATTCGGCAGTAAATCAGCTTCCACTGCACCGGTAAATAATGGAGAATTACCCGAAATTATATTACGACCATATGTTGCAAGTGATTCAAACGATCTTAATCAATTATCATCACCATTATCATCGCCATCATCATCGAATTTTTTTGGTTCCGATGTTTCATCATCATCGTTACAAACACAACAATTTCCACAGCAACAACAACAACAACAAACTCAATCAAATTATGGCTATTTTAACATGGATGGTTCAACTTCCGTTTATAGTGGTAGTAATAGCCATCAACAACAACAACAACAACAATTGGAACAAACATATCAATCGCAACAACAAATTGAACAAATTCCTTTGGAACAATCACCTGTTCATTCGATTATTTCAAATGAACAACAACCGCAACAACAACAACAATCGCAAGAACCAGCCGCTATTAGTTCTTATTTTTTTAATCCAGCTAATTTGTTTGGTAAGTTGATCAAAAGTTGTCATATTTTTTTTTTCTTTTTGTTCAACAATTTCGTTGTTGTTTAGATTCGAAACGATTTTCCTATATAAATCGATTTAAACATCAACGACAACCGCAACAACCAATGTCAACATCATCGACAACAAAATATGTATCATCACCAAATATTGATCAAAATCAATATCTGATAATACCGAAACCATCAGCATCATCTAATGTTGAACAACAAATGCCCAGTCAGGATAATTCACAGCCACAGCCATTATCGACTAATAATGTTCAACAACAACAACAATCTCAACAAACAGTTCCACAACAAAAACATTCAGCCAACAATTGGGTATATGTATCACCTGTAAATAAATTGAATAGTCAACAGCAGCCAATTTTATTGGAAGCATATTTTCAAGATCCATCCATACAACAACAATTTCAACAAAATTATCAGGTATATTTTGAAACATTTTAACATAATAATAATCTTTTCATGTAATTAAAACGAATACCATCATCATCAAAAAAAAGGTTGGATCAATCAAAGGATTAATTGGAAAAACAGGTAAACAAAGAACCAGTGCAACTGCCAATGGAAATTCAGTGAAAATGCCATTACTTTCTTGGTTATCGATTCCATCACCAAATCAAATTCATTTACCTCTACAATGGTTTAAGGCAAAATCAACACAACAACAAAATGTTGATAATCAAATGAATATCGATGAACAACAACAATCACAGCCTCAACATTATTATAGTTCAACAATCCAGCATCAAAAACCACTTTATGGTTATACATCACCATCATCATCGAATTATTTTACACAATCGGTAATCAGTAATGGTAATTCGGTTGGATCGAAGCAACCATCACCACAAGCTCAACAGGTTCAGGTTCAAAGCTCTAATCAACAACAATCAATGGCTAATGGTGGATCGGTTTGGTCATCACCTGCGGAAGCATCATCATCAAATCGATTGCTTACCGGTACATTACATTCACCACAACAATCATCAGCATTACAATTTTGGGTCGAAACAGATCGTCAACCTGGTCGTGTAATATTTCCAAAACCAACAATAACTACTACTGGCCAATATTCACCACAACAGCCATATCAAACTATTCAAGATTATCAACCAATTAGAACTGGATCGTCACAAGCAGCCGTATCACAAGTTGAACCGAATCAAGATCTAGGTGGATGGGATTCAATACAAATGGCTGATATTGTTAAACCTGGTCAACATCAATCATTATTACAACAACAACAACAAGAAAATGGTGAAACAATGGATTCGAATATTATCGAAACAATGATGCCATCAGCTTCATCAGATCAATCGGTTGTTATGAATGAAACTGTTCCCGCTAATCAACAACAACAACAACAACAACAGGCACGAGAAACAATTACCGGCCAACAACAACAACAACAACAATCACATCGTGTTGTTTATCAACAACAAAATTCATCACAATCAATAAATTCCACAACACCTTTGCCTTTGCCAACAACACCAACATCAAATTCACGTGCCTTATATAATCATCATCCACAATTTCAATCAATCTATCAAATGATTCAACAATCTCAACAACAACAGCAACAACAACAACAGGAAAATTCAGCTTCGCAAACATAATTATAAAATTCAAATGAACCAAAACAAAACAACAAGACAAACATTTTCAAAAAGAAAATATCAATTTTATTATTCACATTTACAAAATACAGACAACAAGATAATCATTACATTTTCATTTACAAAGATAATCAAAAAAACAAAATATTTTGAGACAAAAAAACACACAACAACAATAATGGTATATCACTTTTTTCCTAAATAAAAATAAACAAATCATTTGGTACGTTCATAGAATAACATATATGGACTTGTTGCATCTCTTAACACTGATTCCAATGTAATGGATGATACAGATGAATCACTGATAAAATACCATTTTCGATTCTTTTCTTGCTTATCATTATCATCGTCGTCGTCGTCGTGGTCAACATTATTTTGATTCATATCAGGTTCACTGGTAGTTGTGGTGGTGGTAACATTCAAAGTAGAATTAGTAGAATCATCACTGTTATTCGGATTATTGGTGGTTGTTTCGGATAATTTTTCATTTCTATGATCAAGATCTTCACGTACAAATTGCATAATATGTTCAATATCCGAAACAAATGGTTTAAGATGTAAAAAACGACGAATATTTTCGCAATTAAATGATTCAGGCCGTACACAAACATATGCCATATAATGACCAAAACGTAATGAACCAGAATGTATAACAACAGCATATAATGTATATTCTAATCGACGATCATTCCAATCACTAATATCATCTGGATTACAATCTGGTTCATAGAAACGTGAAAAATATTCATAAATACGACTTGTATATGGTGATAAATATAACCGATATGGAAATGATATTTTTGTATTCAATTTATGCATCATCATACGATGTTTATTGAAACCAAATCCTGATGCTTCAAATCTTTTTAATTGTAATATTAATATTGGTGGTGGTAATGCAATCAATTGACATCTTGTTGCTTTTGAATAGATTTTTTTACCACCATTTTGTTTTGAACAATTTTCACAAAGATATTTATTCGATCCATCAAGTGTTTCTTCTTTAATGAAACTACGTAACAATGTACCAAGATCCATATTTTGATAATCTTCATCCGTTCGACACATACGTTCATGTGCAAATAAATGAAATTTATAACGAAATTCATCATCGATAATTTTCTTTTTTTTCGCTGATAAATCTTGAGAATTATTAGGTTCATTTTGCTTATCATCATCATCATCGGATTGTAGAATTTCCGAAGCTATCTTCTCATCATCATCACTGGAACTACAAGTAATGTCACCATTAGGTATTTGATTATCTTCATGATTATCAATGCAAGGCTTTTGAGAATCATCATCGTTGCTGCTGCTGCAAACATTTTCATTTTCATCATTTTCAGTCTTAAGGTTTCGTTGTTGTTGTTGATTTTTTAGCTTAATTTGTTTACGTTCAGCACGTCGAGCTGCTTTTTTTTCTTGCCGAAGTTTTTTTCTTCCAATCAATGATTTATCATCATAGTCATAGTCATTGGCAGTTTGTTGTTCATCACAACTTTCAACATCACCATCACATTCGTCATCATCTTCATCGTTTTTCTTATTCTTTCGATTCTTTTTCTTCATTTTGGTTGATTGTTGTTGTTGTTGAGGTTTTTTGACATTGTCATTCGGTGGACACGTTGATAATTTGGATTGTGGAAATGTAGTATCCAATGATAAAGCCAAATCAATAAATGGTTCGAATGTAAATGAACGATAATCACAAACATTACAATGTATAATTGATAATAATTGGCCACCAAATATTGAATCAATAACAGTATGTTTTGCTGTTATTTTATAACGTTGAGCATTTTCACGATCTTCAGCCGTTGGATTACGACGATCTTCAATTCGTAATCCTTTCAATAGGGCATATTTTTGTCGTAGAATTTCAGATTTTTTCAATGAATCCAATAATGTTATCAATAATTCTTGTGCATCTTGTTGTGCATAACCTTCAAATTGTTGTTTTTCACGTTGAATATCACTTAGCAATGCACGTGGATTTGTTGATCTGTTTTTTTTTTGGATTAGATTTCGATTAGAAAATCAGTTTTGGAAGAAAAAACATTCACAATGATAATAACTTACTTTCGTGCAAAAATCTGTTCCTGTAATTGTAGAAAATCAATTATCAATGAATTTGGTGGTGGTAATGAAAGATGTAATGATTCACTTGTAAATGATTGTTTTGATTCATTCCAATAGAATGTTTGTGCATTCCAACGAAAATCTTGTTGACAACGTTCACGTAGATAATGATGTAATAGATAGGTTTGTGCCATTACTTGTTGAACCGAATTAAAATAACATGTATTACCTAGGTTAGGTAAACCGGATGGTTGATTCATTAAACAAGAAGAATGGCCTTGCATCGATGTTGATGATGCGGATGAAGCAGATGATCGTATAGTAACACCATCAATTTTTTCGCTTAATAAATCAATCGTTTCACCACCACCACCAGAATCATTATCAGCTGTTTTTGAAGAATTTCGTTTCGATTTTATCGTTGTTGTTTGAGCAAATTTTTTATTTTGAGCACGACGTTGTTGTTGTTTACGATTTTTTTTCGCCATCGTAATAATTACATTGATTGGATTTTTAATCAAAAAAAACAAAAGATTTCGATAGAATGTTCGAAGAATATTGATCACGAATTCAAACGTGATCGTTATGATTGTTTGAATTAAATCAATGATGAATCAAATTTAAAGAGTAAAAATTTCTAAGTTTTGTTAGGAAAACGCACACACGTGCGTTAGATAATTTTTTTTTCAAAAGAACAATGTTTACCATCAAGAACTTTGATTGAAATTTTTTTTTCTACTAAATTTTTGTTTACGCAGATTATCAGAACCAAACAAAATGTAATCACGTGATTTGTTTGATGTTACGTTCATAACGGACGTTCCGAATTCAAAAAAAAAAACTTTGAGCGGGAAATTTTTTTTTTTTGAATTTTTCAAAAAAAAAAACAAAATCAAAACAAAAGAAATCCAGATCATTGATCAATTTATATTAATAATGAATGAAAGAATGTTTTGCACAAAAAAAGAAAATACAAAGTTTTAGTTGACAATAATAGTAATAATAACAATAATTTTTTTTAAGCATAAAATATCACATTTATAAATTGGCAATTTGTTTCAAAAATTTGCAATGAGAGTTTCTCTGTTTTGTTTGTTTGTTTGTTTGTTCAAACATCATCATCATCATCATTTTTTTCATTGATTAAAACGTGATTTTTTTATGGTCTTAAACATTGGCCATTTCATCCGTTAATTACTTTCGAGCAAAATCCAAATCCACATCCAAAAACACACACACATCAATAAGATCCAAGAAAAAAAATTGAAAAAAAAGTAAGGAAGAAGAAGAAGAAAACTTTGAAATCATTTTTTTGTTGTTTTGTTTTTGTTTTGTTTATATGTGATCAACAATCATGTTTTTTGTTTGTTTGTAGCCATCGAACCATCGATACCACACAAATAAATCAACATTTGGATATCGACTTGATGGAAAAAAATCATGAAAAGATTTGCAATCGATTCAATCAATCAGATATCAATATCGAATTGTGGCTGTTCATCATGATGATTATGATGATGATGATGATGATGTTTTCTGTTAACATTATTATTTTTAACAATTTTCTGTTGTAAATTGATTGTTTTATTTTTAGTTGGATCCAATATATCATATTTAGGATTTTGTTCATTTGGTTCAATATTTGTAACACCAGGTATGAATGCCATGTTTGGTGGTGAACGTGCCAGTGGACTATTTTTTAAATTCATTAAAAAATTTCGTTCATAAATAATCCTTGTACCTAATCGATTGGTTAAATAAAGAAAAAAAAAAGAAAAAAAGATTAAATAATTATGACATGTGATGCGTGTGATACGTAAACGTAATAAAACTTGATCACCCTTTTTTTTCCCCAAATGTCATATATCACCCCATCAATATACGCATTGGTTAATCTTTTTTAACTTTCTATATATGCCCTCATATCATCAATCTAATAATATATTACGCCTATATGCACCAACTCTCTCTTTCTCTCTCCCTATTATCATCAAATATCGTCACTTAGTTAGTTAGCTACCATGGCCGTCGCCATCATCATCATTATCAATCACATGCCGAGGGGATAAACAGAGGGAGGGAAGGAAGTAAAGGAATGATAACTTGTTGTTGTTGCTGTGGTTGTTAGAAGAAAAATAAAACAGACTGAGATCACATGTTGCACAATGGCAACAAACACAGAAAATGTACGTCGTCGTTTTTTATTTTTCTTCAAATGTAATTAGCAACAACAACAACAAACAACCAACCATTTTCAAATTGAAAATGGTGGTGATGATGATAATCAGAAATTGCTTGCCGCCATTCATTTTTCTTTTCAAGTGTCTGCATACACTACTAATACATAGCATGTGACTTGTTGAATGTTGAATGTGTTAAAGTGTGTGTTATAATGTGTATGTTGTCTGATGATGATAATATTCTGAAAATTTCTGAATTTTTTTTGTTTGTTGTTGGTATGACAACAACAAACAAACAAACAACAACAACAAAATGTTTGTTGTTTGTTTTTAATTGATTATGTTTAATCACGGAAAATATTTAGTGAAAATGAAGGAAAAAACATTCGATAAATTTAGTTTTCGATTGATAAATTGAGAAAAAATTGGAGAAAATTTTTGTTGTAGAATGCAAGAACAAGAACAGAATTACTTACCACCGGGTGTAGTGGAATACAATGTACCACCGGGTGTTGATGAATAACGATCCGGTAATTCTTTTGGATCATTTACAATCTGACGACGTGATGTTGGTATTGTTTTTGCTCCAATTTCTTTCATTTTTTCTTTCTTTTTTTTTATTTCTTTCGGGTATTCTATACTGTTCGGGATTTGAAAACATGAAAACATTTAATCAAAACAAAAACTTGATTTACCTTTTTTAAAATGACAAGAATTTCAGCTTAGCTCACTGTCTCTCTCTCTCTCTTTCCCTTGCTCTCTATATGATTACAAAACTAAAAATGAATATCGATATGGTTGAATTCAAAGATTTTTATATGGCAACACTAAAATGATAATAGGATGTGTGCGCGTGAACAAACAAACACAGGTTGCATTAAATAGTTTTAGATGGATGGATGGATAAGGATTAAATATTTGGTGTGTGTGGTATATGTGTGTGCGGTGATTAGCCAACAAACCAAGCTTTTCCAGATCACTTGCAACCAAAAAACAACCAACTAGCCCCGAATGAATCGATCGATCGAATGAATATCGATATGGTTACAGCATCAAACGAACAAAACAAAACAAAATGAAATGATGTTTTGAAGTTGATAAACCAAGCAACAACAATAATAAGCTTCTGTAAATAATAATGTCGTAGTGGTGATAAAAATAGATACGACGATCGTTTGTTGGTTTGTCTCAAATGTACACACTAAGCATATGATACTGCGGCTACAATTTCTTTTCTTTTTTATTATTGGATTCAATTTCGATTGAAGCAAAAAGAAATGGGCGCGATCAATTTTGTTTGCAAACTTTTTTTGTTTCAAACAAAAATCCACTACACATACATAGTTGTCTGTGATTTGAAACGTCGTCGTCTTGTGTTAGATCAGTGAAATGATGATGGTGATGATATGCCAAAATCCTAATCCAACCGAAAAGAAAAGAAATTCGGAATTAAAAACGTAGCAGTGTAAAAAAAAGGGGTATAGGGTGATTTCATTTACAAAGAAAAAAAGAGATGAGCAAATACGAAATATTTTTGAAGGTAATTTTAACACGCTACTGCTACTGCTGTTGATGAATTTGTGAAATCCAGTTCTCTTCTTCATCATCAATCTTGTCATCATTCATTCATTAATCAGACGATATTTTCTATTTTCTTGGCAGAAATCAAATCTGAAAAAAAGATTATAGCTTTTCGTATCATCGTAAAAAAACATGTGATCTGCTCTTATTATCCTCATCATCAAATGATGATGATGATATGTGTTAATGAAAAATGATGATCATCATATAGTCGATGGTATGTTTCAAATTGTACAAGTGTTTAGTTAGTTAGTTTTATCATGTGAGACAGGTGATAGTACAGTATAGTAATAAGCAATCACGTATACAATTTTGCTTTGCAATTCGAGAAACCCATAAGAAATATTCTCAATATATTCAGTCTCTTCCTTAAAACGAAAAACGAAAAGAAAAAAGCTAGCATGTGATCGATATGACCATGGTCTGGTGTGGATTTTATCACAATATTTATCAGTTAGAATCTGATTTTGAATGTCTGTGTGTTTGATGCTAAAAACATTAAAAAACAAACATCAAAAAAAAATTTCAAATTGAAAAAGCGCTAACACAAACAAAAATCACAAGTTCATCAAAAACAAAAATAAAAAATCATGTTTTTTTTAAAAAAAAATTTTAATTTCATAATAATTATCCAAAATCACATTTTAAAAGTTTATAAGATTATTTTCATTTAATTTTCGTTGTTTTTCGTTTAAAAAAAAAATTTCTTGTTTTTCATGAGGATCAAGGTCAAGGGAGAAAGACAAATATGAATTTATTAACAAAATTCAATAGTTCCTTCAATCAAGATGAATGTGAAAAAAATACAGATTTTCTTTTCTTTTTTTTTTAATTAAATTATTTGGATTAAGGCCTGTACAATTTTCGCTAATTTTGTTTCATTGAATATTTGCCGTTGTTGTTGTTCTTGATGGCCTTTGTTGTTGTTGTTGTTGTTTTGAAGATGAACTAAATGGATGATGCTGAATAAAATGAACATGTCGATGATTTGCTGTAGGATGATGAGTGGTTTCATCTTCAAAACTCATATTAGCAAATGCTTGTTTTGAACGATTTGATTTATCTTTATTGTTATTACCACCATTATTACTTTTATCCACAGTTATTTTCGAAACTAAACCAATTTTTTTTGAATGAATAGGAATAGTCGTAGTTTCCGCACTTGTAATTGTAGTTATTTTACCTGATCCAGGTGCAGGAACCTGATCACCATCACCACCACCACCGACAACAATAACCTGATCATCATCATTAACTATGTTAGTCGATTTTTTTTTCTTCTTTCCAGATTCTTTATCTTTTTTCTTATCTTTATCTTTCTTTTTTTTGTCTTTTTCTTTCACTTTCTTTTCATTAATTTGTTTATTTTCATTTTGTATTGTTTTATCTTTGGATTTTTTATCTTTTTCTTTTGATTTTTTATCACATTTTTCCTATATCATTTGGGAAACACATAAAAATTATTATTATTCGAATGAAGGGTTAAATTAACTATTTACCTTTTTATCTTTTTTATTCTTTTTCTTATTCGCCAATGATGATTGTTCATTAGCAATAGATCGATCATCACCATCCATTAATAAATCTTCACTTTCATTTGGATCTAATAAACCATCAACTTCATCATCACTTTCATCAACTTCATATTTTTTTGCAACTTTGGATTTAATTTTCAGATTTGATCGTTGTAATTGATTACGATTTAATTTATTATTATTATTAACACCGCTACCAGTTGAAATGGTTGATGAAGATGATGATGATGTTTGTATAACATTCGATGTTGTTGTCGCTGTTGTTGGTTGTTTAGCAGCTGTTGTAGCTGTTGTTGTTATTGGATTTATCGCAGACGACAAAGATGATGTTTTAGTAGTGGCTATCAACGATAATGATGGTGGTGTTAGTTGCGGAATTTTGACTATTTGGTTTTGTTGTTGTTTGATCGATTTCGTTGATGATGATGATGATGATGTTTCAAATGGAACAGCACCAAACAAATCGGTAGTCGATCTAGGAACCGAAATATTCTTACTATCATTACTGATCAATATTGATGGTGGTGAAATAGTATTGCTCGTTGTTGTTGTTGTTGGAGCGGTTATTGATTCCTGTATAATAGTCGATACAGGTAAATCAGAAAATGAATTTTCAAAACGATTTGTTATCGTTGGATTTGAAATCAATAACGTTCGACGTTCATTTGGATCAACCAAAGCAACAGCTGTACTTGTATCTTTTTGATGTTGTATAGTTTGATTCTAATATTTGGAAGAAGAAATTTGAAAAAAAAATTAAACAAACACACATAAACATAATGCAAACTTACAATCAATTCTTTATCCGTAAATGGTATCGAACCAAATAAATCTTTATTATTCATTTGATCAAATATAACCTGCGGTATAAGACTACGTTCAACTTCTTCATCAAGACGACGATCATTTTCTTCACTTGAATTATCCAATGAATGTTGATGTTGATGTTGATTATGATTATTCAATGTATTCATTGAAGGTGGTGATAATGATAATGTTTCAAAATCGGAATGTATACGTGAAGAATGATGATGATTAGCCGTAACAATAACATTTACAGGTTGCTGCGTAACTGTTGCAGGCAATTGAATATTTGAATATTTGGAATCATTATTCGAATCAAATAATAAAGCTTGTTGTCCATCATTGATTGTAATCAATGATTTTGTTGTTGTTGTCGTTATTGGCAATGTTGTTGTTGTAGTTATTATCATTTCATCATCATCATCATTATCTTCTAATAATGGTCGATGACCTTCAACATGACCAATCAAATGATCCAATGAATCAATATTTTTCTGTAATGTATCTGAACGTATAGATGAATTTGATGTACCACAATCATCATTATTATTGTCCAAATTTTCAATCATTGGATTATGAGTAATCTGTATTCGAGATATATTCAATCCACCAATGGATTTACATTTCGTCGAATTCAATATCCGATGATGATGATGATGATGTGGTAATTGATTTTTAACCAATCCATATTTAATATGATCCACATTATCATCATCACTATCACCATGATGACCAGCTGAATGTTTGGAATCTTGAGAATCATCACTATTACTACTAATGTTGGAATCATCATCATCATCATCATGGTCATCAGATGAAGATGTATCTGATTCATCATCATCGTCGTCATCATCTGTATTTTGAAGATCAGATGCTGATCCTATTGATGAATGAGAATCTTTTACTGTTTAAAAAAAGCAAAAACGACACGTGATTATTAGATAACAAATCAATCATTGAACTTACCCTCATTATCATCACCATCGATATCATCATCATCATCATCAATATTATCGACTAATGGTTTAATCATATCACCAATTGCTTCATAATCATTATTATGATGATGATTATCATTACTAAGAAGACCCATTCTTAATCCATGATCGTCGTCATCGTCATCAACAACATTTTTGCCTTGATGATGATCATCATCTTTTTCACTATCGTCACGATTACCACCACCATCAATATGATGAAAAATTCGTTGATCATGATCAAAACAACAATCATCATCTTCAGCCGTATCCGATGAATATAATGGCATATAATTTGCTGTTGTATTTGGACTACAACCACTACCATTAGCACCACCACCACCAGTACCACCACAACCACCAAGTAATCCACCTAATTGATTTGATCGTAAATTTGAATAACAATAATATAAATTTAGATAATTTAATCCTAAACGATCCATTTATTTTATTTTTTCAAATGTAATAAAGTTGATGGTTAACATGGTTTGAGATTGAAAAAAAGATTGGTTAAATTTCTGGTTAAATGTGAAGGAAACACTGGAAAAAAAAGATGAACTCTTTGGATCATGCATGAACGGGAAAGAAATAGGAAGAAGAAGAAATGAAGGTTGACCATCACCAAGGTTGAAAGGTTAATTAAATAATCAAATTTATTATCAAATATCAATCAAAAAAAAAATCTTTTTCACATAAAATATTGTTATAAAAGGAACTACTTTTCACAAATATAGAAATCTTAGCAAACAAAAACAACAAAAAAATAAACTATTTCATACACAAACACACTGAACAAACACTACTATACCAAACACATTATCAAAATATTGATTGAAAAATAATTAATGGCCTCAATTTGTTTTTGTTTGTTTGATTTTCAAAGATTAGATTACTTTTGGAAAAAGAAAAAACAGAAAGTTAAGACAACAGAAAGCAATAAAAATGGCTATTTTGGCTTTTCCGTATTTTGATTTTGATCAAATCAATCAATCAATCAATCAATTAATTAATTAAATGTTTGCCATTTTTGTTTAGGATCAACTACTTCATCATCATTATTATTAAGATTATTGTTAGTATTATTATTGTCGGTGTTGTTATTGTTGTTGTTGTTGTTAGGTGTAACATTTAGATTAGATTCATCATCACCATTATCATCATCATCATCATTATGAATAATACCTTGACTAGACGAGCTAATCGATTTATCTGATATAATTTTTGATAATTGATCATCACCATCACCACCATCATCATCATCATTCGTTGAACCGGGTTGTTGTTGTTGTTCATTAATATTATCATTGTTATTATTAACAATCATAAATTTATTATTTGAACCTATTGTTATCATAACTGATTTTTTTGTCGATGTTGTTGTAGAAGATTGTTGTTGTTGTTGTTGATTATCATCATTATCGGTAATAAAAATCGATGTACCATTATCAGAATTTTGTTGTTGTTTTTCCAGATATTCTTTTAAACGTTCTTGATTTACTGGTACCTGATCAAATGGATTATCGGCTACTGTTTACGATTTAATGATAAACATGGTATCCAATTTACTTTAAACCACAAAACAAATCTACACACTACTTACATTTTGTATCATTAGTCAAACGAATACGATCAAATTCTTTACCAAATAATTGATCTTCAAATAACAAAGATGTGGATGATGGTTGTTGTTTTGGATTATTATTATTATCTTCAAATGGATTTAATGAACGAATTCTTGTCAATGATGATAATTGTTGTTGATCAATACAATCATTCGATATAAATTCATTTGATGATCGATTACTATTGTTTGAATTTGTTTGTATAGTAAACATTTTTATTCCATTCGAATCGGCAATAGTATTTGATTGATTAAATGCACTACTATCACTCATATTACGACGATGATGTTGATGATAATTGCTTACGGTAATATTAGTAGTTGCATCAAGTAAAGTTGAACTTTGGTTTCTTGTCGGTGGATTCGATGATAATGATAATGTATCCACTATAAATGGATTATTATTTGTTGATGATTGTTGTTGCTGTTGTTGTTTATGATGACGTTGATGTACAAATTGATCCAAATGTATATCAGCTTCATCATTAATTAATACAGTGTTCATTGATTTTTGTGTCTGTTTATGTTGTTGTTGTTCCAATAATTTATTAGCGTTATTGTTTGTCGATGCAAATAGCTGACTACCGGAAGAAAAACTATGCGAATTGGTAAGACCACCAGTATGACTGACTCTACTACTACTATTATTATTAATAGTACCACTATCTTTCACAGATAAATTTGTTGCGGATATTGTTGTTTCAGGATGATTTGATATTGATAATGATGATGATGGTGTAATAGAACGTTGAAAAGCAACTGGTGATGTTGGCAATACCGAATTAATATTGATGCTTGCTATATTTTTTAGGATAATAATGATGATGATCAAACGATCAAATAATAAAACACTATATAATAAACTAACCTTTTGGTCTTTGTCTTGGTGTAACAGTTGTTGTTGTTGTTGTTGTTTTGTCACTTTCACCATGATAATGATTAGCAGCTTGTTGTTGTTGTTTGGATTGATGATTATTACTACTGCTACTTACAGTAGATAGATTATTTGATGATGAGGTCGATGAATTTGTTGTTGTTGTTGTAGTTGATTGATTAGATCGATGATGATCATTATTGGAAGAACGTTGATGATGTCTAATTTCACGTGATTGTGTTTCAGTTAGTGGTATACGTAAATCCGACCAATTTGGTTTAGAAACATTATTTCGATTAGAAATTGGCGATTCTTCTCCTTTAAGATTGAATGCAAGATAGGAAATTTGATAAATATCCGGACGATCATCTGGATCTGGTGATAACATATAAGCAATTAATGAAATTAAACGTTGTGAATATCTTTCGGCATAAGAATCCGGTATAGTGAGCTGCGCATTCTGTATGGCCAGTGTTGATTCACCAAATGGTAATGTAAAATAACACAGTTTATATACAAGGCAACCTAAAGCCCAAATATCAGCTTTAGTAGTGATTGGTCGTCCTGAATAAACATCAACCATTTCAGGTGAACGATATGCTAATGTAGTATAACGTTTAATTTCATCTTCAATCGATAATGCAGATTTTCGGCCACCATTATCACTTAATTGTAATGATTTAGTTGTAGCCGAACCAAAATCACAAAGCATATAATTGCCATCATCCGAAATAAGAATATTTTCAATCTATAAATGACCATCATCAAAAAAAAAATGTTAAGAATTTTCTTTTTTGGTTTAAAAAAATTTACCTTTAAATCACGATGTATAATTGGTGGATCATTATGATGTAAACGACCAACAGCTTCACAAACATCACAAAGTATACGTATAATTTCCATTTCATTGAATCCCGTTTGTAAACGATCATTCATTAAATGTAATAATTGTCCTTTACAATGTTGCATTAACATAAATATTTCATATACTTCATTGCCACAATAATTTATTGTTGATTCAACTAATTTTACAATATTCTTATGTGATCCTAATTTTCTCTATAACCGAGAAAAAACAAAAGGAAAAATAATTAGGAAAAAAAATGGATCGTAAAAATCAAAAATATACTAACAGCAATATCAATTTCACGTTTACAAATAGACAAATCTTGTTCATTATTAACATATAAACGTTTCAATGCATAACGTATACCATTATTAGCTTTAACTAAAAAAACTAATGAAAATCCACCTTCAGCAATAATATCTTCAACCGTACATAAATATTGACCAATATTGAATATTTTTCCTAAAAATGAACCACTAGATGAATGTGATATTGTTGTCGATGATGTTGATGATGATGCGGATGGTAATGATTGCGTTGATGATGGTGGTGTTAATGGTTCGGGTTGTCGTTGATAATCACGTTGAAAGAATCGTTTCATTTTTGTTGTTTTGGTTGCTTGGTCAGGGTAATTACAACCAAATTATCATTTTCATATGATCATTAAAATATCAACAACAAAACTTTCAAAAAAGGCAATCATGTGCGATCAGAATCGCAATGAAATTGCATTGATCGGATCTTATCTTGATTGACGAAAACGAAAAACAAAACAAAAATATTTGAAAAACCAGGAAAAATTTTTTGTTTGTTTGATTGGAAAACAGAAAAAAACATTTAGAGATGATCAAGATGATGAACGCCCAGAAATATTTGTGTTTGTGTCTATAGAGATGATGATTTCTCTATTTTACTTAATATTTTTCAATCAATTTTTTTTGTTTGTTTGTTTGTTTTGATGTGTCACAAATATATGTGAGTATAGAGCAATATCGCGTTCGACATTTGATGGTGGAAGTAAACACAACAAACAAATAATGATAATGATGACGACAACAATTGGATTTTTATTGATTAAAATTGTTTGATTGTGGTGGCAGCGTTGCTGTCGTCGATGATAATAATTTCAAAAATGTTGTTGATCACTAATTTGATGATGATAACGATAAGGTTATTGTCATCATAATATGCAAAAGAAAGGAAGGAAATAAGATTTGGATTTTTGTGAAGACAAATGTTTAATGGAGGCAATAATGGTGGTTGGAATTTTTTGAAAAAAAAGAAGATATTCAATTCACTAGGATGGTAAAGAAAATGATCAATTTCCAAGGATAATTGAAAACAAAAATGTCATACCTTTATGGTCGTTGATGATGATGATCATAAAAACAAAACAAAATCGAATGTTTAATTTCGAACATCTGGACATTTCGAACGAATCATTGTTTTGCTGCATTCAAATTGTTTTCTGTTGAGAAATGAAATCTTCTTTTCATTTCAAGGACAAAATTTTGTTTTGAATTCAATGAATTTAACTAAAATGATGAATGGTTGTCAAAAAATATAAATGAAAATTAATAAATAAACTATTAGGTGATTCTTAGTAGGCACATTTCCGTTGAAAAGGTTTCAATATTAAAAACGAAGGGTTAATCAAATAATTTTGGATCAAAAAAAAACCTTTTTGAGCCTGAATCTTATTTCTTTTAAAAAGCCTAAAAATCAGGGAATCCAAAATGAATACAACCATCATCAACAACAATAACAATGGAAATTTGACTCAAAATACTCATTGATGATGCCATTATCCAACAAAATAAAAATTGAAGATATTTTTTTGTTGTCAGTGATTATTGTTGTTGAATAGTCATTTCTTTCTTTCTTTCATTTCTTTCTTTTTTTGAGGATAATGTCATCATTAATTTATCTTCTGTCTATAGACCTAAAAAAAATCACAGTACGTAAATAATAACAACAACAACAACAATCCAAGAGAGAGAGAAAAAAAGAGTATATACGTCACAATATATTGATGGAACATTTATCCATTGAAATAAAAAAACATCAAGTTTATACAGGAAAAGTTTGCAAGAAATTAATTTATTGGAAAATATTTGATTTTGTTGATCAAAAGATGGCAGCATTTTGTCCATATTGTTGGATGAATTAATTTTTTTTTGGATTAACCTAACCTCACTCAACTATGAATCACACTCATAGTCATGGTCATCAACCTAACCTCACTCAACTATGAATCATAGTCATAGTCATGGTCATCAACCTAACCTCACTTAACTATGAATCACAGGCATAGTCATAGTCATCAACCTAACCTCACTCAACTATGAATCACAGTCTTAGTCATAGTCATCAACCTAACCTCACTCAACTATAAATCATACTCATCAACCTAACCTAACCTAACCGAACCAATTGACAATTTTTCTCATTTGAATAAAAATTTAATTTTTTTCAATTTTTTTAATTTTTATCATTAAAACCACATACACACAACTGTATCAGGGTAATAAAATTTATTTTCCAATTTGAAAAATGATAATAATTCATTAATGATTTAAGTTTGTAAGATGTGTTTTAAGATCTTAATTTTTTTTTGTTGAAGAAACAAATAATTTGAATATAATAATTGAAAATGAATGGAAATTATTTACAAATTACAAAGAAAATGTATACAAATCAAGCTATCAGATCATTCAGGAATAATGTAATTAAGATAGATGTGTGTTTTTGTATGTAGATCAACAAAACAAAAAGAATAAGGAAAAATAGAAAATAAGATCATCATTATCAATCGAAGTTTGAACTTGGGATTAATGATTGATAATTGGTCAACATGGTTTAAACAAAATGATGGTCGTCTATATTTGATTGATTGATTGATAAGTACAAAATTGAAAAAAATGAATGAAAAAGTACATTTTTGAATAATAATTAACGACCAGCAGTTGTTGAACCATAACCAGAAGATTCTGCAGTCAAACCTGCTGCTTTCATAAAATTCATCATCGATGATGATGCAGATGCAGATGATGATGAGGATGATGGTACAAATGGATTAGTGGCCATTGATGTTGATCCAAACATATTTGCTGCTGCGGCAGCAGCAGCGGCAGCCGCATAATGTTGATGATGTGCCGCAGCAGCAGCAGCAGCGGCGGCAGCCGCAGCTGAAGGACCAAACAATGATGCAGTCGGTGGTGGTGGTGGCATATACAATGAATTTAAATATGGATTATGATGTGGATGATGATGCGAGGGTGGTGGTTGTGGTTGAGGTGAATATGGCATATAAGGAGAAGATGATGATGATGATGATGGACCAGGTGTTGTCGATAGATTTGATAATGATTGTTGTTGCGGTGGTTGTTGATTATGATGACAATTAGACGAATGATTTCTTCTTGATTTATCACTTTTGGAAGAATTATTTTTTTCATTTGTTTGTAACATTTCTAATTTTTCAATTTGTTCTTTATTTAATTTGTCCAATATACTTGCACCACCACCGGATGAATTAAGTAATGAATAACGTGAAAATATATTTTCACGATCAGCTGTTGATAGACCAGCACGTAATGATATGTCTTGTAATGATTTGAATGGATCTGGATGTTGCATAATTGATGATGATGATTGATTAGTAGATGAACCTGGATAGGTGGATAATGATGGTGGTGGCCAAAGATTGGAAGTTTTCGATGTTGTTGCAGTTGTTGTTGTTTGTGAATATGAAGATGGAAGAGAAATACCAATTGGTGGTGGATCAACACTTGAACGACCTGGTAAAAATGCAGTTGATGGTGGTGTTGGTGGAAATGGACTATTATTTCCAGTAGCGGCTACTGCTGCAGCAGCATTCAACATATCAAAATAACGATGTTGTTGTTGTTGTTGTTCAGCGGACATTGCATTGGCCGTAGATGTTGATGGATAAAACGATGATAATGAACCAGCAATAGGTGTGGATCGATGATGATCCATCAGATGATGATATCCAGCATTATTATTAGCATTCATTAATAGATTACCATTTTCCATCGGTGATGGTTGATGTTTAATTTGTTTGGATTTTTTACTACTACTTGGTGTTTCATTACGATGATGATGATGATGATTAATATCGCCATTATGATGATTATTCTGTTTACGATTTTTACTTTCGGATGCGTCATTTTTACGTTTTTGTCCACTTGGTTTTGAATCTATTGATAACGGTGATGTCCTACTTAACGTTGGTGATGATGATGATGATAAAAGATCATTATGATGCGGTCGATTTAAAGCAGCCCATGCTGATAAAGCTGATGATGCAGGATTAGCAGCAGCAGCTGCTGCTGCTGCTGCCATTGCTGCTGAATAATAATCATTTGCTGATGTTGCTGCTGATGAAATCAATGGTTGATTATTATTATTATGGCCATAAATAGAAGTCGGTTGTTGTAATGATGATGATGATGATGATGGCCACATATCGAACGATCCAGCATGATGAGATGGCAGCTGCGGTGGTGGTGGCGGTGGATATAATGCCGGTAAATTTTGTGGTGCAGATAAGGATGGTAATCCTCCTCCTACGGTTGCTGTATGACCAAATCGATTAGGATATTGTTGTGTTATTGTTGTAACCGATTGTGAACGGGTTAATGTTGTTAAACCATTATAAGGATCAAGTGCTTTTACAGTTGTTGTTGAATAATTTGAAATACTTAACAATACTGGATCAGATGGTGGTGGTAGTGATGGTGGAGGTAAAGAGGGAGGTGGCAGTACAATTGGTGGAGGTTGAGAAGGTGGTGGTGGTGGCAAATTATGAATCGATTCCAAATGTGTAACAGTTGCAATATTGTTGTTCGAATTGCTGGAGTGTTTTGCAGATTTTGACGACGAAGATGAATTTGAATTGGATGATGATGATGATCTATGATGATTTTTATGATTGGAAGTCATCAACATCGGATTGAATGATGAATTTTCTTTTTTAATATTATTCGATCGTCCACCAACATTTTCAACATCGTAATGTTTGCTTTTGTTGGTACCGAATTTTCTATCCTGATAAATGTTCCAGGCAATTTTGACATGCATACTGGCACCACGAATTTTTCCTTTACGCTACAAAAAACAACAACAAAACAAAACAAGACAAGACAAACAATCGATTAATTTATTTGATCAATTTTTCATCATCATCATCACGATGAAGATCATGATTTTCGATGAAGACAAAAACTAACCTCATGTAATGATAATTGTGATGATGATGATGGCTGATGTTCGAATTTCATTGTTGATCGTGCAATGGCAGCAGCAACATTCGGAGTTGATGCTACCGGTTTGATCACAGTCTGTTGTTGTTGTTGCTGTTGTATGCTGGTGGAAACAGGCTTTTGACAATTAGCCATCAATGGTATTGGCATCGGTGGATAATTTGTCAATGCAGCAGCAGCAGCAGCTGATGATGATGATGATGATGATGACATTGATGAATTATTATGAAGATGATAATGTTCATAAGGTCTAATAGGCGTTGTATTCAATGGGTAAGGCTAAAAAATTTAAGAAGAAAAAACAATTAGAACACCAAACAAAAAAACAGCATGATTTATCAAAACGAACCGAATTGCCATTTGACATTAATGACGGTGATGAATTAGTAGTGGTTGTCGTTGACGTTGTCATCGTTGATGTTGCTGATGATGATTGCGGTATCATCATCATCAACGATGGTGAAGGCGAATGTGGAAAATAATGATGAGGATGATGATGAAAAGGTTGTGGCGTTGAAATCGGTGTCAATGGACCACCGGCAATATTAGGAGGAGGAGGAAGAGGTGGTGGAGGTAACGATGGATTACGATTTTGGCCATCATAAGCAGCGGCTGCAGCAATCGATGCTGCCAAAAATCTTGAATCCAATTCATGTCGAAGTAATTCTTGACCTAAATTATCAATATGACAAATGATTAATTAATTAATCAAATTAAAGAATGTTTGAAAAACATACTTTGTGTTGATGAATAAATCGATGGCGATGATGATGAAGCCGAACTGGATGATGATGATAATGGTGGTGGTGGTGGCGGTGGTAATGTTGTTGATGGATTAAAATAATTGGCCAATGATGCTGATGTAGCTGGTGTTGGTGGACAATGATGGCCACCACTAACACCACTACCGAATACCGGATGTACAGGTGATGATGATGCTGAACTTGATGATGATATTAAAGAACCGGCACTGAAAAAAAACATTCGAAGAAAAAAAAAATTGAACCAAACAATCGAAAAAAAACAAACAAATGAAAAAGAAAACATACCTTGCATTTGACCATAATAATCGATTATGATGTCCATTATTTTTTATATGACTAGCATTAACATTGTTACTATCCATATTATGTAATGGATGTTGTTGATGTTGATAGATCTGATGTTGATTATTATTATTATTATAATGATGAAAATGTTTATCATTTGATTTTGTTGTTGTTCTAAGTGTAGAATCTCTTTCATCTTTAGGTTCTTCTTTGATATTAAATTCAGTATTCGTTGTAATAATATTGGCTGTCGGTGATGATCCTTGTTGCTGATGATAGGATTTACCATTATTATTATTATTACCACCAATCGATTGACTTAATTGACTTAGGCTTGAAAGACTTTGATTTGGTCCAAATGTATTGGATTTGGATTGTAATTCATAAGATGAATTATTAAGATTATTATGATATTGATATTGATTTGGATGTAATAACGATGGCGGCCTTAATGAATCATCATTAGCATCAACATTATTAGTGGATAATGAATCACATTTTGTTAACATTTTTGTCATCAATGTTTTATCATTATTCAACAATGATGATGATGATGAATCTTTTGTTAAAGATGTTAATGTTTCGCCGGGTGATAATTCAAATGTATAAACATCTTTAATGGTGTTGGTGATGTTTGACGAAGATTGTCGATCATCATTAATGTTTTTCTTTGAATTAGTCGTAGATAATTTCTTATTTTTAACCAATCGTTTTCCTTTGACATTATCAACGGGATTTTTCGATGTCGATTCACTCAAAGTAACAATTTCCTCTTCATTATCCGTATTACCATTATTATCATCATCAATATCCGTACGTTTTCGATTGGATTTATTTTTCATTTTCAATGTTTCTTTGGCAGCAGCAGCGGTGGTGGATTTTTTTGGATTTTTCAATTTCGAAGCACTGGTGGTGGTTGTCGATTTTTTCGACTTTAAAGCTGTGGTCGTCGTCGTCTTGCTTTTCGTCTTTTGTTTGATCAAAGGTGATTTTTTCTTCACCGCTTTTTTCCCACTAACACTTGTGGATGATTTAGATTTCAAAGTAGTCGTCGTTGCTGCTTTTCGATTTTTATTCTTATCATTATCATCATCATCATCTTCGGTTAAGATTGCACGATCATCATCAGCCGGATGCTTATCATTATCAATATCATCATGACATTCATCTTCGGTAAGAAAATTTTCAACAAGATCCATATGATCATCATTTTGATTATCATCTTCTGAAACAGCAGAATCGGATGATAATTCTGTTTGTTTACGTTTTTTCTGCGCAAGAATTGGTTTCTTTTTCGTCTGTTTTTTATTATTATTATTTACAACAGTTGAAGAAGCGGATGATTTTTTCGATTTAATCGATGTTGGTTGTTTAGCGGCAGCAGCGGATAATGGTTTTGATCGAAGTATTCGACGTTTTGCAATTGGTTTACGATTTTTTGTTGCTGTTGTTGCGGTAATTTTTTCATCATCATCATCATCATCATCATGTTGAGATTCGTCAGAATCATCTTTGGCATCCGAATCCGAATGATCCTCATTATCATCCGCATCATCATCGTCGCTGCCATCAGATTCATCAGAATTTTCATCATCATCATCATCATCGTCTTCGTCTTTAGTTTTTGATTCAGATTTTTGACGCTGCTTTTTATTATTCGCAGCTTTTCCAGCTGATTTAGCAGGCAATTTTTTTCGTTTTTTATTCTTACTACCTATTGGTCGACCAACAGTTCTTCTTTTCTCTGTTTCATCATCATCATCATCAGAATCATCATCATTATCAGATTGATCAGCTGCAGATGAATCATCTAAATCATCATCATCAGTTTCGGGTGGACAATCATTATCATCATCATCATCTTGTTGTGATGAATGACCACCACCACCACTACTACTAGCATCATCATCATCATCATCATTATCGGAAACAGACGATGATGATGATGATGATGATGATGAATTCATCATTTCCTTTTCGGAATTTGATCTTTGCTGTTGTTGTTGTTGTTGTCTTTTAGTTTGTTGTTTCTTTGTTTTGTTAATTGTTTTTCGATTATTTGATTTTTTTGTTGCTGTTTTTGTTGTTGATTTGTTGGCTGTTTTCTTAGATTTTTTCGTTGATTTTGATTGTTGTTTTACAGGTGATTGTTTTGTTTTTGATCGTTGTTGTTTGGTCAATTTTGTTGATTGTTTGGTCGTTGATTTTGTCAAAGATTTTGCACCTGAAAAATAAAGAAAATAGCCATTTTGATTAACGATGTTTATTTGAAAAGAATCACAAAAAAATGCTTTAATTAAAAATCAAAATCAAAAAACATTGTCTGATCCAGAATTTGAAAAAACCTTAACCAGAAAACAAAAAAAAACAAAAAAAAAAGATCTTCGGTTATTGAACAAAAGCTATACAGCAGTGAGCAAGAAAACTTATGGCTGACGATGGAAAATATCATTCGTTTTTTGTTTTTGATAGTTTTTCTTTCTCTCCATTCAAAACAAAAACAAGCAAACAAGACAAATGATGCATGAAACATGCAATGAATGGAAAATGAATGAAGAGAGAGAGAGAGAGAGAGAGAGAGAGAGAGAGAGATTATATAGAGTGAATGGAATGAAAGTTACATAACCCCGCATATAAACAATAATAATAATAATGTTGACGGGCCTGGCTGGATGTTTTTTTTTTGCTCCGTTTGTTCATTCAAACATTATTATTTTTCTTCCTTTTTTTNGCTGACGATGGAAAATATCATTCGTTTTTTTTTTGTTTTTGATAGTTTTTCTTTCTTTCTTTCTCTTCATTCAAAACAAAAAACAAGCAAACAAGACAAATGATGCATGAAACATGCAATGAATGGAAAATGAATGAAGAGAGAGAGAGAGAGAGAGAGAGAGAGAGAGAGAGAGAGATTATATAGAGTGAATGGAATGAAAGTTACATAACCCCGCATATAAACAATAATAATAATAATGTTGACGGGCCTGGCTGGATGTTTTTTTTCTCCGTTTGTTCCCATTCAAACATTATTATTTTTCTCCTTTTTTTTCGATGGTCATAAATCAACAGGACAGGATCATCATCAAACTTAAAAAAAATCCATAAGGAAAAACATTTTTTTCAAACAACAAAAACCATATAGCCAAAAACTGGTTGAAAAAGGTTCAAAAATTTTCAAAAAAAATACCGAAAAAATTGAAAAATTTGATTCCAAAAAAGCTAATCATCAAAGACTAGGTTAACCAGACACCAAACACACCATCGATATCATTTTAATAAGCTACCTGCTTAATACCCAACATCAACCAAAGAAAAAATTGAAATAAACAACCAGATTCTGTGTTGGAAAAAAGTTTTTTTGTAAAAATAAAAAAAGTTTCTTTAAAGTGTGAATGAATGTGATTGCTCGAAAAACCAAAACCAAAAATAAGATTTTTGGTCGGTTGGTTTGGTTAGTTTCAAACAAAATAGTGAAAAACAAATCAAGATTTTTCAACAAAAAAAAAGTTCTCATCATAATCATCATCATCATCATAATGATCATCATGTTCAAAAGAAAAGAAAAAAAAGTTTCTTTTTTTTGATCCAAGTTTGTTTGTTTTGGTTAGTTTTCAATGAACACACTATGTGTGTAGAATTGACTAAATCAAAATGGCCCCATAACACATAACGAAGAAGAAGAAATGTCAGAATAAAATTCTTTGAGCTTGGATTTCTTTTTTTCATCCTGTGTGTTGGTTTCCACAAGAAAAAATGGTGCATAATTTATTATACGGACCAAAATATATTCGCTTTTCACAGACATTTTTCTGTTAAGGATTTTCTTGCTTTGAAAATGAAAACCAAGCCAATTTTGGTATAACCATTTTACAGTGAAAAACAAAACAAGCAAAAAAAAAAAGTTAAGAAAACTTGGATTCAACCGACCTAACCAAAGAAAAACGACAAACAACAAAATTCAATCCTGGACAGGCAAAAGAAAAAATACTTCTTTTCTTCTTTTCTTGTTGTTTTCTTGGATAAAGAAATAAAACCAGAAAAACAAACGACCGATGGAATGATCCAAAATAAATAAAAACAACAAAAAACAAAAACAAACGATGGCGACCACCACCAAACAATTTTCGCAAAAGGCTATTTGTATGCATAATAAATACACAGAGAATGCATTTCTTTTCCTTTTTCGTAGTTTTTTTTAACATTTGGATATTGCGCCCAAAATGTAGTAATTTTCTTTCGTTAGTTAGGTTTGGGTTAACCGAATCTAAAGAGTTCAAAATGAATGAATTTTTCTCCTTAATTATGTAAGGATTATTCCTATTTTTTGGTGATCAATTCTGACCAAAAAAAGTGAAGAAATGATGAAAGATCTCTATGTCAAAAAATCTGTCATTTGGAAATTTGTTTTGAAACATACCAGCTCCAGTCAAAACAGCCAACTCTAATAGATAGATAAAACTATTTTGAACGCCAAAAATGAATATTGTACTTGTGTTTTTACCAAACGCCAGAAAATTATTCAAAACTCTGGTCGATTATGATCATCATCGTTGGCTTTTGGTGATGGTAATAGTTGATGGTGACAAATGATGTTACGCATGAAAAACCATAGACTTTTTTCTTCTTTTGCTCACCATCACTACTATCAACAGCAACGATATGTAGTTGAAGAAAAAAAACCAGATGGAAATATACAACGAGTGTGAACAACAAACAAACAAACAAACGAACGAAAGACAAGAGAGTGAGAAAGATATATTTGGAGCAAAACAAAAATAACACAGAGTGATCCATTACTGTGTGGTCATTTTCATCTCAAAAAAAAATTGTCAAGATTGGCACCAAAATCTACCCAAACGAAATGGTTAATTGATTCATTAAACAAAAAAGGATTAACCCCTATGACATTTGACATTCGTGAAAACAATTTGTTGACCTTTTAAACAATTATGAAATTGGCCTAATGATTCATTCATTCATTCATTCATTCATTCTACAAAAGAGAATCCATTTTATATTCAAAAAACGACCCAAAAAAAAACATCATCATAATCATCAACATCAACATATAATGAAATAATAATTTGCTGCACTCCATTTGCACACACTGCAAGTGAATGAAAGAAAACTTTTCCTCATTGCATCTTTATCATTTATAAGTAGGCAGAAGAAGAGAAGCAACACAGAGAAAGAAAAAGCTCAAAAAATCATTGATGATGATACTAAATCAATTTAGCCAAGAATCGCTTGGCGCTTGAAAATCAAAATGATAATTTTTTTTCTACTTGTTTTCCTAATCTTTGGGAAATTTTCTGATAAATAAAATGACCGACAAACATAAGGTCCATTTGTGTTGTGTTTTTTGGCTGGGAAAAATTTCGGAAAAAAAATAAAATAAAATTCCAGCACCAGTAGCCAACTAGATTATCAAATATCAAGGGAATTCATTCTTTTTATGATGATGATGATGTTTACTTTTTGAGAAAAAGAAAACTGCATTTTGTCCGATTTACTTTATTATAACTGTTATTATGGATGTGAATNAAACGCCAGAAAATTATTCAAAACTCTGGTCGATTATGATCATCATCGTTGGCTTTTGGTGATGGTTGATGGTGACAAATGATGTTACGCATGAAAAACCATAGACTTTTTTCTTCTTCTTTTGCTCACCATCACCACTATCAAACACGATATGTAGTTGAAGAAAAAAAACCAGATGGAAATTATACAACGAGTGTGAACAACAAACAAACAAACGAAAGACAAAAGAGTGAGAAAGATATATTTGGAGCAAAACACAGAATGATCCATTACTGTGTGGTCATTTTCATTTAAAAAAAAAAAAAAATAGTCAAGATTGGCACCAAAATGAATACCCGTGGTTAATTGATTCATTAAACAAAACAAAAAAGGATTAACCCCTATGACATTTGACATCGGTGAAAACAATTTGTTGACCTTTTTAAACAATTATGAAATTGCACTGATGATTCATTCATTTTGCACAAAAGAGAATCCATTTTATATTCAAAAAAACGATCAAAAAAAAAAAAATATCATAATCATCATCAACATAATGAAATAATAATTTGCTGCACTCACTGCACTCAATGCACACTGCAAGTGAATGAAAGAAGAAAACTTTTTTTTTCTTCATTGCATTTTTATCATATATAAAGTAGGCAGAAGAAGAGAAGCAACACAGAGAAAGTCAAAAAATCATTGATGATGATACTAAATCAATTTAGCCAATATATTTTGGTGGAAGAAACCATCAGAATCAGTCGTGTTTTTGGTGCTTGAAATCAAAATGATAATTTTTTCTTGTTTTCCTAATCTTTGGGAATTTTTTTTCGTATTGATAAATAAAATGACCGACAAACATAAGGTCCATTTGTGTTGTGTTTTTTGGCT